CATTGATGCCTTTCCCCCTCTTCCACTCACCAGTAGACCAGTGTGGTCGCCAGCAAGCTTACATGCCTGCTCATGTGTTCCCTTTGAGTTTCAGTCTTGGAGGGGATTTTGTCCTGAAGGGACTTGATTGCTTGCCTTGATGACTTCCTGGTGAATAACTTGCTTATTCTTGTAGTAGACAATAATACTGCCATTTTTGTTTAGGTTTTTTTCTGGTGATCTTTCTTTAAAGATGCATCTTCTGTTGCTCTAGCTGTTCCAGGCTGGTCTGCTTGTGCTTTCTAGAAGGGATGTCCCAACTCAGAAGGTTCTGGATGAGACTCAGGATTCCATCTAAGGTCCTATACTCTGCAAAGGCTCCGCAAGAAGCCTATTTCACTGGGTAAGTTCTAGAACCCCTTTTAGGTATTCCAGTCAGTTATAGGCTGAAGACAGGCTTCCAAGTTTTCTGTAATCATTTTTCCCGACACTCCTTTCTATCCCACTCAAGTGTCTATTTTACAATAGTAGGCAAAGGGAACCAATATTCATAAGATAGTCAAGCATCTTAGTATTATTTTCCCTCTTCAAACTATGCCTTGTATTGCAGAGCCCTGTTGTTCTAAGGTTGAGCATGCATCACTATTTACCTCTGTCCCACTTAGCCCATGCAAACTTGTCTCAGTGTTCCCCTACTTTGTCCTCTCCCTTCTTGTATTGCACTCCCCAATACCCGAACTATGATGTATTTGCCCTTACCCTGTGCTCTACCGTCGCCTCTCTCCACTTCCCCCTAAAACCCTCACCCCAACACCACCATTGTGGTTACCTTATATTCCATTAACTTTTCCCTCCATTTAAGACAGCCTGATTTATCCTGTAATCTACCTGACCTCACCACCTGGATCTTTGTTCGTCTGTGTTTGCCTTCTTTCACAATGTAATTGTTTTGATCATAGACTGACTTCCCAGATCCTCTGAATTTGTTCTTACAGTTTTATTCTGTTCTCGACTCTTCCATTTGTCGAATGAATTCAGGGTGATGCTGCCACGTACATCCGTCTCTGGTTGTTGTCTATTCTTGTTGGTTCTCAGTCCACAGAACCCCCTTTAGGATGTTTTTCATCGCAGGGTTGGCTTTGGCAAAATCCCTTAGCTTCTGTTTGTCCTGGAATGTTTTGATTACATCATCATATTTGATTGACAGCTTTGCTGGGTAAAGGATTCTTGGGTGGCAGTTTTTTTCTTTCAGTGTTTTATATATGTCTCCCCATTGCCTTCTTGCCTGCATGGTTTCTGTTGAGAAATCCAAGCTTAATCTGATTTGCTTGCCTTTGTATGTTACATTTCTCTTTTCCCTAGCTGCTTTCAGGATTCTGTCTTTTGATTTTGGAGAGCTTGATTATTATATGTCTTGGTGATTTTCATTTAGGGTCTGCCCTTCCTGGGGTTCATTGAGCTGCTTGAATGCTTATCTTTTCACTTTTCAGGATGTTAGGGAAGTTTTCTTCCAGAATTGTTTCAACTATCTCCTTTATGGATTTACATGATTCTTCCTGTTCTGGAATGCTGATAATTCTTAATTTATTCCTATTCATGTTGTCCAACATGAATCTTAGACCTTCTTGAGATTTTTTATCCTTTTTTCTGTTTGTTCTTCTGTCTTAGTAGTATTGAGAGAGTTATCTGCCAGCTCATTAGTTCTGGCTTCCATCTCTTCAATTCTACTCCTTTGACCTTTCAGTGTATTGTCCATTTCTGATACTCTATTATTAACCATTTGGACCTCTTTCTATAGATTTTGAATTGTTTACAATGCTGTATCTGTCTTATTTGATTCTCCCTGTGGCACTTTTCTGACTTCTTCCTTATTTTTCTCAACTCCATTGTAAAGTGTTTTGATAAATTTTACAATAATTTTTCTGAATTTTTTCAGTCGTTTCCAAAGCCTGCCCATCTTCCAGTATGGAGTGTAGGTCTACCTCCAGCTCATTTGCCTCAGTCTCTTTATCTCTTTTCTGGACATGTGCTGATATGGTCATCTGATTCTGTTTTTTGGGCATATTCAGTAGTTAGCTGTGGCTTTAACACTTAATTGAGTATGTGTTTTGGTGGTTTTTATGTTTTCTGATTGCCTCCAAGTAGATGTGATCAGGAGATGGGCTTCCCCTTTCACTCTTCTTCCTGAGAAATTTCAAGATGCCACTGTTGGTCATTATGACATAACTCAAGATTTAATTTTTGGCCTGTTTACTTTTCAGTCTGCCTGTCCTGCTCCACAACCTCCGTTTAGGCCTTTTTCCTAGTGATAAACAGTACATGGCTGGCTGTGGTCATTGTGTGCTGTCGTTTAGTTTTAAATGCAAACTGTCCCTTTAAATTTTGAGGAGCTATGTGCGCATATGTAATAGAACTCTCTGGAGGTGGGCTGGGGTGTGCACTTGCTCAGGCACCCCTTCTAGTCACCAGAATGGAGGTGCGCAGACAGCAAGAGGCCAATAAATAGATAGGGAAAAATAATGTCCACACCTTTATCTCCTCGGTTCTGTCAGGTATCCATGGCTGCTCTGATCCTTTCCCTGTTCGGTCTTGCCCAAGATGGCTGCTTAGGAAGCAGCTGAGCACCTTGGATTAGAAAGCAATGGATTCCTTGCTTCTGCTACAAATTCCACAGGCTGTAAGCCTTCCAACTTTCTAAATATTCCTTTATATGTGGTTCAGAGTTCTGGGACCATCCCCTGAGCCTGCTTGGTCTGGTATTCTTTGTTGTTGCTGACGGAGCTCGTCACTGCATGTCTACTGTCTCTGCCATCTTGTTTGTTCTCTTGGTTGTAATCTTAATGGAATCAGATCTCCAGACCTTTCCTCCAAGTTACTGATGAATAAGTTCCAATCTCTAATCTTTAGGTTAGCAGTCGAGCATAAACTGTTTGCCACTCAAAGGGATTAAAAAGAAATCAATAAACATTTATGATGTTATAACCTCAGAGGATCCCAGGTGTGGTGCTGTAGTAGAAGCACTAGACTGAAAAATGCAAGGTTGGTTGTTCAAACCCATCAGCTGCTCCTCTGAAATTTTATATAAAGTTGCTGTGAATTGGAACTGACTCGTCGATACTTACCAGCAGCACAACATAATCTTTAAGAATTATACTCAAGATCATTTGTACATTAGAGTGAATTTCTTTAATCAGATTGCTTTCCTTTTGTTCCCTACTGAGATCTGAAGGTATGAGACCTTTAACATTTTCCTTATACTTTTCTGAGTATTAAAATAGTAACACTATGAACAAATTGTACTCACTATGGACAAAGTGGAAAGTGCATGTTTGTGTGTGTGTGGTGGAAGTCGGGGAGGGGAAGGGGACTTAATAACAAGTTGACTAAAAAAAATAATGAATATCGCCCCTTATTACTGTGCTTTCTAAAAAAAAAACAATCAGCAATTACTTTAAAACAAAGATAAGAACATTTTAAATATAGAGAAACTAGATTGTGTATAATTTTTTATTGCCATGCATGTATCAGTTTACTTGACCAGAGAATGGTTACTGAATGGGGGAGAAAAAGAAAACTTGGAGTCATGGCGACCTTTGGAAGCATTGAGTCTGAGTTAGGGGCCCTTGTAGGCTAGGGCTGGCCAGGCAGACCAGGACTGAAGGGCCGCAGGAATCTAAGCATCCTTTAATGGCATATGGCACATGGACTCTTCACTGGCCTTTACCTTTCCTCTGCCTCTGCCCCAGCACTGGCTGTCCCACCACTTCCATATGTGCGTTGGGTTTCAGACACACTGTACTCTGCACCATGAATTGAACTGTCTACTTGTCATTGGGCACTGTGTTTATATTCTCCCCAGAATCCCATCTTCATGCACACTGTTCACACCTCTGTCAGTACCCATTACACTGGGGTCCTTGTTGATTTACTTGTTTGAGTCTCACTTTAGACTGAAACTTTTTCTGTTCTGAATGTCTAGAGTGTCTGATGGCTCCAGAGGAGAGTGGGGGGTGGGGTTTGGTTGAGTAGCTATGGAAACCAGAGAAAGGGACCAGCACAGTTCCAAGGAAAGGAGGCTGGCCGTCTTCACCTCCTCTGTCTTTCTGACCTGAAGCCTGAAGCCTTGGTCTTCTGTGAGCTAGTCTAGGAGCTTCAGTGCCACTTAGACTACAATTTTAGAGACTGGTTTTTGTATGTTCCAAGTTCCAATCTAGTTACTCAGATTTCCTGCTCTAACCTTCCGTGAATGTGATGTAGACATTCTCGGAATGCAAGTGTCACCTTTATGTGGTCCAGCAACAGCCCCGGGAGCTACAAGCAGCCTCAGGCATGCCAAGATTCCTACAGAAAGCTCCCGTGTGAACAAGCATGTGCCTACAGGAACAAGAATTCAGCCAAACCCCCTTTCAGACCGTACTGGTTTTTATCACCTAAATTTGTAATCTTTATAACTAATATCTACATTTCTAGGTGCTCTGTGCACCCTGCTCCTGGACATTTTAGAGTTACAGGGTCAGAAAAGGCAGATTGTGTATACCTGCATCTTTGTAGTACTCAGTAGTACTTCAAAGATACTTCCTCATGAGGTTGAGTTCCCCAGAGCTTCCTGCAGTTAGCTCTTGGGTTGTCTTCCTTACTCAGTTCCTGTGAGGTGGGTCAGGGTAAGTGGATTCAAGGCCAGCTCTGGGAAGGTAATAGGAGCGAGGACTCTGGGTCAGTCAGCTTCCACTGACAGACTTGGCATTTCTAAGGGGACATAGGATTGCAAATGTGCCATAGTCTAGCATCACAGGTATCTCTCTGGTCATCTCAAATTTGGGAATATTTTTCAAACTAGGTGTGAATGCAAATGGTCAGCTTTTTCCATTTTGACCAAGTACTGACTGGTCTGAGATTTCAGCAGACTAATAACCTCCCACCTCCCATGTTGATATGATTGTCAGACTTCCCTGTGGTCCCTGGGCACTGTAGCTGAGGTCATATAATCTGAATTTCTGGTCCTGAAGTCTGTTTCTCCCAAGAACTGTGCTGTGTGGGTATTACTTTCTGGTTTTGGTAGAGTTCTCTCTGTTCTAAATGTTCTATTCATCAGAGGATCATCTGTGATGGAAGTGGGGCCATTTATTTTAAAAATATACAATCTTAGGGCTCTATCCCGGTCTATGTTTAAATTACTGAGGGGGACTGGGAACCACCTGTCTGAGAGAGTGCCTTTGTTCAAGAAAAACAAGCAAAATGATAGGTAATTTTGATGGGTCCCTTTGCTATGAATTATTACAATTATACCTATGCCTTGCTTAGCTCTTGTTCTAGACTCCAGGACCTTAATTTGGTCTTGCTCTTCTTTGTGACCCTTCTCCCACCTTCACACACAGTTGGTAATACCAGGCTTTCAATGTTGTTGGTACTGGGGAACTATTAGTTGGATGAATGATGATTTTTCTCTGCTCACTTCAAAGATAATAAAAAGTATAGCATTACACAAACACTTTGAGGGAAAACCAAGACCAGGTGCTTAATTTTGTAAAGCTAAGTGTGTAAAGGGTAGCATGTGACAGTGGAAAGAGCATTGGCTGTCACATTGGGAAGTCTGTATTTGGCACTGCTTGGTGGCATTGCCTTGAGCAAGTTCTCTACCCTCCCTGTCCTGTTGTCCTCATCTATAAAATGAGGACCAGAAGTGATGATAGATGTGAATGTGCTTTGAAAATCAGAAAAGTAGATTCAGGTCATGAGTGAAGAATGCTAAGGGTAGGAAAGGGGATACAAAACCAGTTCTGTATGGTGGCTAAACTAAAGTCTGTTGGCCCCACAAAGATCAGGAAAGATTTTTTTTAAGGACAGTGGCTCAGGTATACTCAGGGGATGCTTTCCTATTGCTCTACCCCGTAACTGAGCCACCAGGCTATTCAGGATCCTCTATCCTCTGTCATAACCATGCTGGGTCCTAGAGGCTATGGCACCATTCTGTGGTCTTGCAGGTGCTCAGTGACAATTCCTGGAAATGTCCTGCCACCCTGGTGTGGTAATGGAGGTCAGGAGGAGGTGAGACTAGGAGGCTCCAGGGATGGACATCCTACTCCAAGGCCCAGTAGGATATTACAAAGAGAGGTTTGTGAGCTGAGACAGGGTGTTGGCCAAAGTCACACATACCAACACCCACTCACTGAGATACTTGTCTATTAGGATGAGGTATTAGGGCTATGGCGGAGGCCACATGGTCAGTCTATTAGGAATTAGCATAGGAGTGATGTATTTAGTAGTCTGCTGAGAGCTGAGATGTGCACATTAGAAAGCAGGCCTGTCCCAATGCCTGGCCTCCAACTACTAGTCTGCTGCTGCAAAGCTGCCACTCCCTGAAAATTCTAAGCTGGTCTGTTACTATGCCACTTGTCCCTTCTTGCCTGTTGTGTAGGAGTGGGGGCTGGCTGTGTAGAACTTTGGAGGGTACAGGGAGCAGGGAGGGCAGCAGACCAGGGGAAGTGGCATATGTGAGCACCTCTGCAGCAACAACAATCCCGCTGTCTAGATGGGGCCTCCTTATTAGCTCTGTAAGAGACAGGAGAACAGAGATTCAAGCCATCAAAGCAGGCACACACAGCGACAAATGGCTAGTCAATGGTGGGTCAGGACCTAAACTCAAAGCTTTACAGGATTGAGGAAGATTGGAACCCTAGGGGAAGACTTTTTAAAACATTGTTTTTTTGCCTGATTTCAAAAATAATACATGTAAAAATACAAGTAATTAAACATAGTGAGGGATCCTGGTATGGTGCTGTATGATAACCATGAGGTCGGCAGTTGAAACCTACCAGCTGCTCTTGGAAACCATATGCAGTGTCACTGTGAGTGAGAATCAACTTGATGGCACACAACAACAACAACAAAATAAACAAAAAAGTCCAAGTCATTACCCTGCCAGTACAGAGATTCCAAACAACCAAACCCATTGCTTTCAAATCAATTTCAACTCTGAGCAACACTATAGGAAAGAGAAGAACTGCCCTATAGGGTTTTCAAGGCTGTAATCTTTATGGAAGCAGACTACCTCATCTTTCTCTCGTGGAATGACTGATGGATTTGAACCACCAACCTTTTGTTTAGCAGTCCAATGCTTATTACCCACTGTGTCACCAGGGTTCCTTATTACAGAGATGCTATTAACAATTTGCTATGTTCTTCCACATTTTTCTAGTATTTATATTTATTATTGTTAAAGACAAATGTGACATATATGTTCTGTGAATTTTAAAAAATATTCTTGTTAAAGTTTGTTGTTGTTAAGTTCCATCAAGTTAGTTCGAATCCATAGCGACCCTGCATAAGGCTTCCTAGGAGCGGCTGGTGAGCTTGAACCACCAACCTTGTGGTTCAAAACAACTTTGCAGTCCAGCACATTAACCCACAGCACCCACCCACCCCTGGTACTACTTGTAAAAGTAGTACCTGCTTATTGCAAAACATTAAAAGAGAAAACCCATTGCCATCAAGTTGATATCAACTTACAGAAACCCTATTAAAATAGAATAGAGCTGCCCCATAGAGTTTCCAATAGGACTGGTAGATTCAAACCACTAACCTGTCTGTTAGCAGCTGAGCACTTAAGCATTACGCCGCCAAGGCTTCTTTTTGTTGTTGTTGTTGTTAAGTGCCATCGAGTTGGTTCTGACCCATAGCAACCCTGAACAGGGTTTCCAAGGCTGTAAATCTTTATGGGAGCAGAAAGCCTCATCTTTGTTCTGCAGAGCAGCTGCTAGTTTCGAACTGCTGACTTTGCGGCTCATAGCCCGATACGTTTTTAAAGAGGATAAAACACTGTCAGCACCAGATTATTGAATATTGAAACATGATGAAGAACACTAGAATATTGTCAGATGGTGCCGGAAAATGAGCCCCTCAGGTCGGAAGGCACTCAAAATGTGACTGGGGAAGAGCTGCCTCCTTAAAGTAGAGTTGACCATGATGACACTAATGGAGTAAAGCTCTTGGGACCTTCATTATGCTGATGAGGCATAACTCAAAACGAAGAGAAACAGCTGTAAAAATCCATTAATAATAGGAACATGGACTGTACAAAGTATGAATATAGGAAAATTGGGAATTGACATAAAGGAAATAGTGTAAACATCAGTATTCTAGGCATTAGTGAGCTGAAATGGACTGGTATTGGCCATTTTGAATCTGATAATCACGTGGTTCACTATGCTGGGAATGACAGATTGAAGAGGAATGGCATCGTATTCATCATAAAAAAGAACTTATCAAGAGCAGTCATGAGGTACAAGAAAAAATTCAAACTTCAACTTGCAGTATTGAAGAATTCTATGAGCAAAATACTGAAAGAATGCATCAAAAGAAGATGGAGAGAATACACACAGTCACTGTACCAAAAAGAAATGGTCGATGTTCAACCATTTCAAGAGGTATATATGATTAAGAGCCAATGATACTGAAGGAAGAAGTCCAGGGTACGTTGAAGTCATTGGCAAAGAACAAGGAACTGGGAATTGATGGAATACAAATTGAAATATTTCAGCGAAGTGATGTGGTACTTGAGACATTCACTCATCTATGCCAAGAAATTTAGAAGACAATTACCTGGCCAACTAACTGGAAGAGATCCATATTTGTACCCATTCCAAAGAGAGGTGACTCAACAGAATGTGGAAATCATCGGACAATATCATTGATATCCCATGCAAGTAGAGTTTCACTGAAGGTAATATAGTAACCGCTGCAACCATACATTGACAGAGAACTTCCAAAGGTTCAAGCCAGTTTCAGAAGAGGATGTGGAATGAGGGTTATCATTGCTGATGTCAGATGTATCTTGACTGAAAGCAGAGAATACCAGAAAGATGTTTATTTGTGCTTTATTGACTACACAAAGCCTTTTGATTGTGTGGATCATGACAAGCTCTGGACAGCATTGTGAAGTATGAGTATTCTGGAACATAATTGTGCTCATGACGAACCTGTACATAGACCAAGAGGCAGTTGTTCAAACAGAACAAGGGCGCACCGAATGGTTTAAAATTAGGAAAGGTGTGCACCAGGGTTGTATTCTTTCAGCATACTTACTCAATCTGTATGCTGAACAAATAATCAGAGAAGCTGGATAATAATGAAGAAAAACGTGGCATTAGGATTGGAGGAAGGCTCATTAACAACCTGTGATATACAGATGATACAACTTTGCTTGCTGGAAGCCAACAGGACTTAAAATGCTTATTGATGAAGACCAAAGACCACAGCCTTCGGTATGGGTTGCTCCTCACTGTAAAGAAAACAAAAATCCTCACTATTGGACCAATAAATAACATCCATATAAGTGGAGAAAAGATTGAAGCTGTCAGTGACTTCATTTTGCTTGTATCAACCATCAGCACCCAGGGAAGCAGTAGTCAAGAAATCAAACGACATATTGCATTGGGCAAAGATGTCAGTTTGAGAACTAAGGTGTGCCTGACCCAAGCCATGGTATTTTCAATAACTTCATATGTGTGTGAAAGTTAAATAGTGAATAAGGAAGACTGTAGGAGAATTGATGCATTTGAGTTATGGTGTTGGAGGAGAATATTAAAAGTACCATGGACTGCCAAAAGAAAGAACAAATAGATCTGTGTTGGAAGAAGTACAGCCAGAGTGCTCCTTGGAAGCCAGGGTGGCCAATATTCATCTTTCATACTTGGAACATTTGGTCATGAGGGACCAGTCACTGGAGAAGGGTATCATGTTTCATAAAGTGGGGGGTTGGAGAAAAATAGGAAGACCCCCAACAAGATAGATTGGCACAGTGGCAGCATCAATGGGCTCAAACGTAGCAATGATTGTGAGCTTGGCCCAGGATTGGGCAGTGTTTGTTAACGTTGTGCATAGGGTCACTATGAGTCAGTACCGACTCAAGGACACCTAACAGCAACAACAAAAATGTAAGAAGCCAAAGTCTCCCAGTAGCCATAACCCTAGAATTAACTGTTGAAAGTTTAGTGTGTGCATTTTAGATATTTTCCTTGCATGTATATGTTTATACCTATTTACGTACTTTGTTTTTATCTGAATAAGTTCATGTACAAACTCTTCTACAACCTGACCTTTTTTAAAAGTAAATCCCAAACACCTTTCCTTTATTTCCATAAATATTGAAGTATCGCTCTCTAACAAGTGTGGATTTAAAAAAAAGCAACATTGCACACCAGCCTGGAACAGCTAGAGCAACAGAAGATACATCTTCAAAGAAAGATCACCAGGAAAAACTCAAAACAAAAATGGCAGTATTATTGGCTACTACAAGAATAAGCAAGTTATTCACCGGGAAGTCATCAAGGCAAGCAATCAAGTCCCTTCAGGACAAACCTACCTTCAAGACTGAAACTCAAAGGGAACACATGAGCAGGCATGTAAACTTGCTGGTGACCACATTGGTCTACTGGTGAGTGAAAGAGGGGGAAAGGCAGCAATGAGAAATGAGCTGAATTCAACCATGCTCCATAGACTCCTGTTAACCTGGAGATGAGAGAGAAAAGAGGAAGGGCTGGTTAGTCCAAAGTGTGGTGAGACCTGGGGACTCCTGAGCCCATGGATAATGACATAGCCACAGAGGGTTAGAGCTGAATGAAACATCCAGCTGATATGAAGTGAGGGAAGACACACAAGAACACCCAAACTTGTGGATAGCACTCATTTGAACTAGCCTCGATGGCTTGATAATTAGAATTCGACTAGAGGAACAGTAAAAAGAAAAAATTTGATACAGGAAACAAGTGTAAATTGCTACAATTTGATGAACTTGACCTAAATTTGGATGTAGTAGCTCATATGCAGGGTAGATAGGGACGGGGAACTTAGACATTGGCTATCTAAAATGAGGGGGTGATAAATGCACGAAGTGACTGGCTTACAAGTTTTCAAGAGGGAGTTTAGTTTAAGAGTGTGCAGGGGAAGGTAGAGTCCCCACTTAGTTTTCATGTTACCTAGATGGGTCTGGTTAAAAGAGATGGGGATAAGATTCTTTTGCTTCAATAGTGAGTAATTGTTATCATGACTAATCACGACTGTCAAAAACTGTAAAGGTAGAAGTTTTGTAACATTAATCTTACAGTCCAGAAACAGAGGATTCTAGGACCATAAAGGGAGAAGAACACAAGCGGAATGCTGAACCCTATCCAGAGAAGCAGTGACACTAGAGATGGAGGCAGAGATGAGGGCATGGAGAGAGGGAGCAGCTGAGGACTCCAGACTCATGGAAAGAGAGGGACTGAGTGCTGGCACGGCTAGAAGGCAGACTTGAAGAATGTGCCCTTTGGTTGTTTAAATTATTATATATTTCTGAGTGTTTTTGTATACATCTCTCCACCCCACCCCATCCTCCAAAAAAAGAAAAGAAAAGGAAAAAAAAAAAAAAAGGAATGGAAGCATATACTGTTGAATGATGATGCATGGAGGAGTTTGTAGTCATTGCAATGAAACGATGGTGTAAACTAATATTCTCCCTTGTAAACTATCACTCAATTCACAATTAAAAAAAAAAATGATTTAGGAATCTGGACTGGGATGCATTATATTTATAGATTGGATTAGGTAGTGCTGACATGAATACAATGTGAAGTCTTGCTATTCATGAGCATGATATGTTCTACCGTTTTTGTAGGTCTCTTGGTTTCTCATAGTGCTTTGTAGTTTTCTTTGTGTAGATCTTGTTTTTATGTTTAGATGTGTTCCTAGTTATTTCATCTTTTTGGTGGCTATTGTTAATGATACTGTTTTCTTGATTTCGTTTTGAGAGTTCTCTTTATAATTGTGAAAGAATCCAACTGAGGCTTGTATGTTAATCTTGTACCCTGCTGCTTTGCTGAATGTTTCAATGAATTCCAATAATTGTATTGCTGAGTTTGGGGGATTTTCTATGTATGGTATTGTCTCATCTGCAAATAGAAAGAGTTTTACTTCTTCTTTGCCAATTTGGATGCCTTTGATTTCATTTTCTTCCTGGTGAAGACTCCCAGCACTGTATTAAATAGGAGTGGTGATAAAAGGCATCCTTGTCTGGTTCCTTTTGCAAGGGTAGTGGCTTCAGTTTCTTATCATTGAGAGTGATGCTCACTGTTGGTTTTGTAGATATGGCCTTAATTATGTTAAGAAATTTCCCTTCTTTAAAAAAAAAAAAAAATTGCACAGTGTCATCATACCCACCAAAATTAATGACTTTCTTAATATCCAAGCAACATCCAATTTTTGTTACTCAGCAAATAGTTCCAAGGAGATCATCCTGCTGAAAATGGTTGTTCTGTCTCCCGAGTCTCTAGTCGCAGTCTCTAACTTCCTGCAGAGTCTGTACTGTCATGCTACTTATTTTTTGAGGAATCTGGGTTATTATTCCTGTAGAAAGTCCAGCATTCCAGGTTTGCCTGATTCATAGCGTTATTCCACACATTTAGCCATCCTGTGTTTTGTGTAAATGAGTAATTCACTTTAGAAACTGCTGAGCACCTGTGCTTGGAGATGAGAGTACCCAGTTAGTGGTGGTGGTGCTGCTGGGGGCTCCTATTGCTTGGGAGCTGGTTCCCACTCTTAGTAATGTTAAGGTGAGCCCAACATTTCTTTGATCGTTGTCTTTCCACACCTGTACATGTAAATCTTAAAGGTGGATATGTTTTTAAACAAGGAAACATACTGCAGTTGGGTGTTTGAGGTACTGTAGCTGGAACAACAAATAAGGGTCCTTGGCCACAAAGGTCCATTCTAAAGAAGACAAGAGTTGGTGGTTGTGTAGAAAGGAGGAAATACCAGGCGGGAGAAGTTCTAACAAGGCACTGATGCTGCTGGCAGCCAACTGCCCTTCTGGGACATCACGTAAAATGATGTAACTGAGTGAAAAAGTGATGGTGAGTGACCTCCTCCCTGCTCTGTCACTGAGCTCTGTTGTGGTGAGGGGTGAGTGTGAGCTGGATGCAGCTGAGTCTGTGGTGTAAAGGAGGGCTTCTTGGTCTGAGGAGACCTCAGTTTTTTTGGTCCTTATCTTCTATTTTGGAAGCTCAAATCATAGTGGTTCCAGCACTCCTGTGGTGAGTCCCAGCCAGACTTAAGAGAGACCGCCTGCTTGGGAGGGGGTGGGTGAGATGACTTGGTGTAACATAGTCTCAGCTGGAGGGTGTATTGAGGAGGCCATCTAGTCCCATGCTTCATTTTACAGATGAAGAAACTGACTGAGAGGTAGGGAAGGTTCCTAATTCTTTGGCTATTACCCAGCCTGCATTCTTACTTGGGATCTCTGAGATGGTGAGGGTGGCCAGATCGGCCCCTGACATATTCGTAGTCTGCACCCAAATTTCTGGATATCATTGGTGATGGTCTCTTATTTGATTCCTCGGTAGGTTTCCTGATGTGGAGGCAATCGTGAACAATGCCTGTGTCTACCAGCATTTGTTGGCTAGCTTGGTCTATGGTCCTGCAATTGTTTGAATATAAATCAGTGTCTGGTGTCCCAGTCTCAGCTCCACACCCATCAGTGAGCTGAACCATCTCGGACCTCAGTCCCTTGAAGAAATTTAACGAGATTAGGTTTTTTCCACAGCATGTATAAGTGTGCCCAGTGATATCAGGTGATAGGAAGATAAACAGTGTCTCCCTCATTGCTTTTATATTGACCCTTCATTGTTGTTAAGTGCTGTTGAGTTCATCTGACTCATAGTGACCTTGTATAGGGTTTCTGAGGAGCGACTGGTGGTTTGAACCACCGACCTTGTGGTCATCAGTCCAGTGCTTATCCTATAGCTCCATTAATTTTCCCTTTATAGCAGTGCCATAAGCTTTCTTTTTAAATGTGTTGAGGCTAAAAAGTTGACAGATTTAAACAAAATAAAATAGGTGGCATTTTGACATAACAGGAGGGGAAACACAGAAGACTAAAGATGACACTTGGCCAAGTGACCCTTCTGGTCCTTCCCAGTGCTAACCTTTTACCATTTGTGGCTTTTCTTTATATTCAACGTACAGCAGTCGTGAGCTCCTGGCCTGAGCAGACGCATGTACCAGTAGAGAGGATCATCCCAACTAAAGCACAGCCTAGACGTTCAGTGTGATTGAGCAGATGCTTACTACCTGGGATGCTGATCACAGAATTTAGAGACAAGTGAGGCAGCATCCTGGTTTTTCTGGAAAACCATCTGGAAGCTACTTTGTATTTGTGCAGTTTGGGCTGTGGTCACTGAAAGTTTCTGAGTCATTGCCCTCCAGTGAGAGCTCCACAACTGTTATCCTCTACAGCCTCTGAGGAGTCTGCTCAGGTTCAGTCACAGCCTGCAGTCAAAAAGTGGGGTTATTGTCCTGGAAGCTGGGAGAAGCGGGCTACAGAAATGGGCAGTTAAGGGCTATTTGCCTTTCAGGATTTCCTGAAGATTCCTGCAGAGATTCTTCACCTCAGAGCTTTGCCGACAGCCAAGAATGGCGAGCAAGGGACCCTCGGCCTCTACGTCCCCTGAAAACTCCAGTGCAGGTGGACCCAGTGGCAGCAGCAACGGTGCTGGTGAGAGCGGAGGACAGGACAGCACCTTTGAGTGCAATATCTGCCTGGATACAGCCAAGGACGCCGTCATCAGCCTGTGCGGCCATCTCTTCTGGTCAGTACGCATGCCAAGTTTAGAAAGCCTATATCCTGGGCAGCTTTGGAGAAGGCGTTTGCTCACTGTGAGTCCAAACCCCCTCAGGACCAAATAGTAGGAAGCCTGAGTTCCTGTCCCAGCTCTGCTGATGATGAGCTGGGTGACCTTGGGCAAATTGTGACCCTACCTTGGGCTTCATATCCCCATCTCTAAAGTAAGCACTTCCCACTTGCCGTTTGCTGTGCTGAGCAAAGAAGCCATATTAGTGGTTGTGAGCAAGGACTGTGGAGCCAGGCTGCCTCCTTGTGAATGTTGAGCCTGCCTTTTCCTCATGGGGGCGTATTTACATACTCTGTGCCTCATCAACAAAGTAACTTTTGAGTATTGCATGACTCAACATGTAGAAGGCTCAAAAGAGCAAGTAATTGTTAATAACTTCAAGTCATTTCCGACTATAATGACCCTGTATGGGGTTTACTAGAAGTGCTTGGTGTGTTTGAACTACCAACTCTGCAGTTAGCTATTCAATGCTTATCCTATAGCACCACACCAGGACCCATAAGAGTAAGTAGCACCCAGTAAATGTTCACAATAATTGCTAATAAGTTTCATCTATGCCAAAATGAGTCTGTATAATCCTCAAGAATTAGAGAAGACCCCTCCTGGCTTTGAGAATCAGTTGAAATGTTAAGATTTTATTTTTCTTCTCTTGAAATTTTGATCTGACCTTGAGAGGTGTTGTTGTTAAGTGTTATCAAGTCAATTCTGACCCATAGCAGCCCTATATAGGATTTCCAAGGAGTGGCTGGTGCGGTTGAGTGTGTATCCTACAGCTGCATGCCAGGACTCTGATCTTGAAGGGTAGATTTGGGTAAATGGAGAGGAGAGAGGCAAAGGGTATATACCACCTCTGAGGCAGGAAGTTTAATTTGGCACAGTGTAAAACATAAAAGATAAATTTATTGATGAGTGAATAGAGCGAGGCAGAGATTTTTGTCCTGGAGGTCCTTGCTCTAATAATTATGTTTCTTTATAACAAAACAAAAACTTTCTATTGTGATTTGAGTGAAAGTACAGAGCAAATTGATTTTCCATTCAACATTCATATACATTTTGATTCATGATATTTGTTTTAATCCCCACAGCCTTCTTCCCACTTCCTCCATGTAACTACTGTTTCCATTTGTCCTTCTTTGCTATTCCATCCTACCTTCTGAGCTCTATTCCTGGGCATATGCTGCCTTTTTTATCTCATATGATTGATTGTTTTAATTGTTCACCTTATTAGGCCTGTCTGTTGTTTGGCTAAAAGTTGAGCTGTAGGGATGAGTTCAGAATGACTAGGGGCCATAGTCTTGGGGATCCCACCGGTTTCTGTCAGCCCATTAAGCCTGAGCTTTTCTTAGGATTTTGAGTTTTGTTTCACATTTACTCCCACTCTATCCAGGACCTTCAATTGTGATCCCTTTCAGACAATTAATGGCCAGGCAACATCTAGTTCTCTGGTCTCAGGTCATACAAGCTGAGTTTCATGTGATCCATCTTCTGGACTAATATTTGATGTGATTAATCTTTTGGACTAATTGTTTTTATGATTCTTTGATTTTCTTCACTCATTTTGCTCCGGATGGGGAGAGACCGTAATAATTAAATTTTATAGAGTCTGTTGTAATCAGCCCTGTCCTAGATGTTGGAGATAACGCTGAGGTATCATTAAACCAGTATTTGAATTGAGTGGCAAAATTAAGAACAAAAACAGGAAGGGTACCATGCAGGGAACACAGACTCTGAAATGAAACGTGTTTCTAGTCCCTGGGCCAATCTGCTAGTTTCTCTGTACCTCAGTTTCCTCATGTATAAACTGGAGGTAATTGTGCTCCTTCGTGGGTTAATGTGACCATTCAGTGACGTTGGCTAATGAAAAGCTCTTCAGCCATAGCCTAGCATGTATTAGGTGCTTAACAAGTGGGAGACATAGATCACTACTATTGTTATAATAGTGTGGCACTGTAGGATAAGCACTGGACTGCTAACCATATGGTTGGCAGTTCAAACCCACCACCCACTCCTCAGAAACCCTATACAGAGTCGCCATGAGTCAGAACTGACTTGACAGCACTTAATAACAACAGCATTGTTGTAACCCAAAGAGTTTCATGAGCTCATTCAGTCATCTCCACTTCTTCCCGACGGTCTTTGGGGGGAATTTGCCAGTGGAGATCTGCCATGGTTTGGAGTTCCCTCACTCAGCCTGAAATAGTGATGCATGGTTAGCATTGGAGCCAGATGTCAGGGTCTGTTCTGTCCAGGGAAATTGTGTATCTGATTTGTGAGGCTAAACTTTTATGAAAAGGAAAAGAACCATTTCCTGAGTCTAAGTTTTTCTCAGCTAGAAAAGATGTGTGTTATGTGACGGATAGAAGCCATATCTACATTTTCCACTGCACTGGCACATAGTAGTCGATATTGCAGATCTTTCAAATGTGTGTTATTTGTTGTGTGCAGCGGTGGATGATAGAAAAATCAGTGAGAAATGAGACACAGTGGTATATATAATTCACTGAGCCGAAGTTAGTGTTTCTGGCAAGTAGCATTGCCATCTGTCCCATTACTAAAACGAGTTTTTACAGTAGAGCTGACCTGCTTAGCTCATTCCTGCCAGCAAAGCTCTCAAGGCTGAGGACAGCTTGTGTCTGAACTGCCTGGTTGTCCACACATCCCTTGTGAGCCTAAGGAGGCCATGACTCCACTGAAATCAGAGTGTATAGTGTGTATACATATGAGAATGCGCCCCTGGGTCTCTGCACAGAGGGTGCTTACTTTATACTGGATTCCTTCAGAGGCAGTAACCCCCTAAAGGTAACCATGTAGGGAAGCCCAATGTGAGATGACCTGGGGCCTGAGAGCCCCAGGAATAGTCAGGTGCCTGGAGTGGACACTGGGGATCGTGTCTCCATTGCCTCGTTTCTTCCTGTGATTTTTGTGTAGTTTTGCCTTTCATACTTCTAATTTCCGACATCCATTGGCCTCAGGAAGCCTCAGTAAAAGTGGCTCCAGGAGAGGAGCCAACTCTCCCAGGTGGGCTGCAGAACTCCATGGTTTTACCCTGTTTTCCCATTTGGCTGCCCTAACTGCACTGTCACTGTTTCTGCTAATGAAAGCATTTTCCTTCCTTTCCCCTTTTCTCCTTGATGGCTGGTTGCCCTGGGGACTCTGGCAGTTGGCCGTGCTTACATCAGGTAAGATGCATTTTATTTTACTTTGTCTTTCATCAGCTAGGGTTGCACAATCCACCTCTAGTCTCAGAAGACTGCCATCAGAAGCTGCAATCTCCCCTGCTTGTGGGCTCATTTGCTTACTTACCCTCCAACCCTCTTTATACATCTGCCACTGACAGCCTCTTGAAGAAATAAGGAACCAGTGTGGCACCCTTGATTGTCGTGACTCTGCCTATGTGGTTTTTCAGGCCATCACCTCTCTAGGTCTCAATTCCTTATTTGTAAATTGGGTTGGCTTTGATGGCATGTTAGGTCCTTTCTGTTCATGAGATTCTGATGCTTTAAAAACGATCTCATGTTATATTAATATCCCTTTCCCCTTTCCCACTTTGTTGTTGTTTTTATGTGCCGTGGAGTCGGTTCCGACTCACAGCGACCCTGTACAAAGGGTTTCCGAGGCTGTAAATCTTTATGGGAGCAGAAAGCCTCATCTTTCTCCCGCGAAAAGCTGGTAGTTTAGAACTGCTGACCTCAAGGTTCGCAGCCTGATTCGTAACCACTACGCTACCAGAGCTCCTTCTTTCCGACTTACAGGTCTTAAAAATGTTAAGAAGGGAAACTTTTTAGGTACTAGAGTTTTGTGGGAAAAAGAAGTCTTGTTTTCCCAGCTGTAGATTATTATGCAAACCAGTTTGTATTCGCCAAGACCCAGGTGCCTGCGCCTACTTGGTAATACAGAGCTGGCTGTGAATGATCACTGTGAGCCAATGGTCCTCTGCAGTTGTAGCAGTAGGGCCCCACCCTCAGGCGTGACTGAGTTATGTGGGGCGGGGAGGGAAGTTTCCGGCCTCTAGAACCTCAGCGTCACAGTTGAGCACTTGACTACTACTGAAAGATTGGCCTTTGGAACCATCCAGAAGTGCCTTGGGAGACAGGCCTGGTGATCTGCCTTGAAAACACTATGGAGTACTTCTGTACACATCAGGTTGACATGAGTCAGACAGCACTAACATCAACAGTATACACATGTGTTATGTTATTAAGTACCATTGAATTGGTTCTGTTTTATAGCAACTTCATGTACAATGGAATGAAATATTGGCCAGTCCTGCACCGTCACTACAGCCATTTCCTATGTTTGAACCCATTGTTAGAACCACTGTATCAATCCATCTTGTTGAGGGTTTTCCTTTTTCACTGACCCTCTATTTTAGCAAACATGATGGCCTTCTTCCGGGACTGGTCATACATATATAATTAATGTCTGTGAAGATGTTGTTAGGTGCCACTGAAATTGTTTTGACTCATGTCATGTGACCAAGAATTGTCCCGTAGGGTTTCCTAGGTGTTAATCTTTACAGAAACAGGTTGCTTGTTCTTTTTCCCATGGAGTCACTGGGTGTGTACAAACCACTAATCTTTCGGTTAGCAGCAGAGTGCTTAACCAGTGATCCACTAGGGCTCTTTTATAAAGGCATTACAGGTAATAACATTTTATTATTTTTATTTTTAAGACAGTAAAATTGTTTTTAATGTTACCAGTGAAAAATTCTGGGAAACCTGAAATAAAACTCTGGAATTTTTAATATTGAAAAAAATAGTTAAGTGAAAGTATAAAAAAAAAAATTAAGCGAATTTAAGAGAATGAGCATTGTGCAAGGTTTATCCTTTAGCATGTAGTAAATCACCGGAAGAATGTGATCACAGAAAGAAGAAAGTGAGTGCTGAAATCGTGTAATTGATCCATCGGAAAAAATAGAGATTTAAAGTTCATGGTGCCTGTACTAGCAGCCTCAATAAACTGAGGCTAGCCGTTTCAGACCCTTCCTATAGCCTCAGGGTTGTGCTTCATTCCTGCTTTATTGCTGGGAGCCCCTAGAGAAAAACAAAGCTTGAAGACGCTTGTTTTAATTGTGATGGTATTTAAAGGCAATTTTGATTTTCCTATTTGTAAATATTTATTAAGTGCTAGGAGCAGGAATTGAAGAGAGGCAATTTCTTGTGGTATTCCCTGGTCAGGCTGGTGTTTCCTAATGTGAGATGTGTGGATTGCCTCTCAACCAGCTGTCACCTGGCCCATGTGGTTGATACGGAGTCATTCATATGTATTGCTTTCCTGTTTGCAGTGGTTGGAGACCAGACCTAACAGACAGGTGTGTCCGGTTTGCAAAGCTGGCATCAGCAGAGACAAGGTCATCCCGCTCTACGGTCGGGGCAGCACTGGGCAGCAGGACCCTAGGTGAGGACTTGGGGTACCTCTCACACCCACTCCTCCTTTTGGATGTGAATTCACTTCTGTTGACTAGCTGGCTGAACACTCGGTTCTGAGGCAGCCAGACTCCATCCAGCTGGGAACCAGCCTGAAGTGGGAGGGAGCCATTTGCTGAGCTGTAACAGAGATCTCCACTGAGTGTGTAACAGTAGGCAGGCACTGTGCTGGGCTTGGGACCCTGTCGTGCATAAGACCTCACAGTTGCTATGAAGGGGCAGCCTAGGAAATCGCATGTACAAAAAACTCAAGAGTCCACGATGAAGGGTTGCAGCACCGTGAAAGAGTGCCTGTAAAGGGAAGACAGGGCCTGCTCCTGCTTATCTCTCTCTTTGTGCATTCATTCCTCTCACCCTGGTTCCCACCACACTTCCTTCATACCACTTTTAAAGCAATCCCTGCCCACACCATATTGCCATTTGCTCTATCCCCCTAAGCCAGGAACACCTCAAGGGTAGAGTCTCTGTGTATTGTCTTAGTATTGGCAGCAATCTGCCCAGTTATATGTAAAAAGCCCTCAGTCTAGTATTGGTGAAATGAATGATGGGAGGCAGAGGTAAAAAGTTTAGCATGGGGTGTTTGCATGTTATTATGTGCTATTAAGTCAGTTTCGACTTATAGCAACCCTGGATAGAGTTTCCAAGAGCAGCTGATGGGTTTGAACTGTTCACCTTGTAGTTACTAGTTCAGTGCTTATCCTACAGTGCCCAAGCGTAGTAAGCGGTAAAGCTAAAGTTGGAAAGGGCAGAGCAGAGAAACCCTGAATCTCAGCCCTCTCAGCTGACAAGGATGGCTACCAACTGTTTCTGTTTGGATTTGGCATTTCTCACATCTTTGCCTCCATGAGCCCTGTGTCACACAGGACCAATAAGGGTGTCCTAACAAGCCTGGGTCAGTCTCTCTGGGAGAGGCATACGCTGCAGTGCAATTTGATGAACATCTCATAACAAGCAGGTGCAGATAGAATGGATAGTTAGCATTTGGTTTGATTCAGCACAAGTACATGTGTACCAAGTGGAATTGGGGTGTGTGGCCAAAGATAGAGACCCTGAGCTTGTGATGAAAACACCCCAGTCCATTCATAGAACAGCTCAAAGCAGATTATCATAATCTTGTTGTATATCATTTCTGTTTCAGAGAGAAGACCCCTCCCCGTCCTCAGGGACAAAGGCCAGAACCGGAGAACAGAGGGGTAAGGAAGATTATAGGAGAAACTTCTACATATGAGCCCATGCCTCTAGCAGTTTCCTTCTTGAACTTCTATTTTTCTCCTTGATTGTAAAAGTAAAGGAACAATTGTAAAATACAGAAATGAAAAGCAGTGGGGGAAAAACCATTTACAGTCACAGCATCCAGAAATAATCATTAGAAAGATTGTGGTCTATTTCTTCTTTTCCAACTATCTAAATAGAGTTCTGGTGTGGCACTGAGGGTTAATGCGCTGGACTGCAAGGTTTTTTGAACCACAAGGTCAGCGGTTCAAGCTCACCAGTTGCTCCTTGGAAACCCTATACAGAGTTGCTGTGAATCTGAACCAACTCGGAGGCACTTAACAACAGCATGATTACATAAAGCAAACCAAATCAAACTCCATGCCATTATCAAGTTGATTCCAATTCATAGCCACTCTATAAGATGTAGAACTGCCCCATACAGTTTCCAAGGCTGTAAATGTTTTCAAAAACAGACTACCACATCTTTCTTTAACATGGTAGCTGGTCCCTTCAAACCACCTTATCTCAGTTGGCAGCCAAGCACTTTAACCACTGCACTACTAGGGTACCTTATAATTACATATATAGAGAGAGAGACACAGATTTTATTGTTACAGATCTCTAAGCGTGTGTGTGTGTTTTAAAAATTTTAATTTTTCATCAAGTGATTTCCATGCTTTCCAGAAGAACTCTAGTTCTTCTGATAGATAGGTCAGTTAGCATAGCAAAAATTTCTGCCTTCATGGAGTTCCCATTCTCAGAGGAGGAGACTTTGACCAATATTCCTTGAGGTTTTTATGTCTGTCAACAATTGTGCGTTTAATGACTAGTGTTCAATAAAATAGATTTGCTATCGTTTCTAAATCCTTGGTTGGGTATTTAGCTACTTTTTAAAATTTTTTTCCTAATTCAAAACTTGCAGTTGTGTCTTCAAGCAGATTTACCATTACATATTTGGAAAAATTCTTTAGAATTACTCAGAAAATTTGCAAATTTAAGTCAGATGTTGTTGCTTTTGTTAAGTGCCATCCAGTTGATTCTGACTCATAGTTACCTATCTGTATAGCGTTTCTGAGAGTGCGGCTAGTGGGTTTGAATCGCCAGTTTTGCTGTTAGCAGTCCAGTGCTTATCCTGCAATACCACACCAGCACTCAAGTCAGACCTTAGTCTTAAAAAAAATTTCCTGTTAAAAAGTATCACTAAAAAAATTTTTTAAGTAAAATATCCATATGCCAAAATTCAGCACAAATCTATTCTCATTTCCTCCATGTTCTCTTCATTTGCTGTGATGTGCATATATATTTTTATGTACAAGTAGTCCCTAACTTAAAATGATGTCATTGTATGCTGGTTCTGACCTAAGTCAAATACCTCTTCGTTTTTGTTTAATTGCCTTTATTATCAGTATCTTTATAAAATCAGCTCTTTATTTTTCTTTTAAGGCTAGAAACTTTACATATAAACTTATAGATATATTTTAATATGTACACACATGCATATTACTAACAATAAGAAATACCAAAACAAAAAAAGTCCAGGTGTTCACAACTCAAATACGTAGTAATTCTGGGATTACTTTTAGTGATCACTTCGGATTTTGATACATTTTAATTTATTTAGGCTTTCGTTATAGAAGGACCTTTTAGTTGCATCTAGATTTTGCTGTTGTAAATAATGCTTAATAACCATATTTGCATACATTTGTTTTTTCTTAGTTGAATTATGACATTTCCTTAGGACTCCCAGGAATAAGATTGTTGAGTCAAGGATCTTGATAGAAATTGAGATAGTCATCATATGACCCTTAATGATAATATCAACGAGCGTTGTTGAATGACTATTATGTATGAAGAACTATTTGTTAAGAGCTTTATGTACATGATCTCATTTAAGCCTCACATTAACTCCTTTAACATAAGAGAGAACTGAGGCTCTGAGAAGTAGCATGACTTGCCCAGGGTCACATAGACAGGGCTAAAACCCACATCTGACTACTACTGAAGTCCTAACTCTTGATCACTAGGCAACATCACTTTCACCCTTCCCAGGCTCTGACTCCCCTTGGAGCATTAACTTCTGACCCAGAAATCTGAAGCCCTAGGAAGCCAGAGGCCCTGGCCTTGAGGACTATAGTACACCACCAGTGATGCTGGTATTGAGCCCCAGGAACATGAGCTCTCAAAATAGGAGAACTTGTGGAACTCTGTAGAAAACCAATCCTTAGGCTTTCATCAATGAAGCACTGATTCCTGATGAAACAATTGCATCTTCCTGGGTAAGGCGGCATCTGTCCCAGGAGACCTCAGACTCAGCCATGCTCAGTCTGAGTAAGAGGCATTTCTACACTGAGGAGAAGGGAATCAGTTGTTTTCCTTCTGTAAGTTTGTCTTCTTATTAAGTCAGTTGTAAACTTTATAGGAAGCACCACCCAGCAAGAAGTTTGAAGGTAGACACCAGGTTGCTCAGCATGGTCCAGGGAGTGGTGACTTTGTGACTTGCAAAAGACTCACAAATGCAGGTCATTCAGCTATGTGGAGCACAGTTGCCCAATAACAGTTCATTTTTTAAAACTTTTTATTGTGAGTTGGGTGAAGGTTTACAGACAAGATCATCAGCTTGACATTCAGTAAACCATATACCTTGTTTCATCTCAATGATTACAATCCCCTCCCTGCATCATTTATCCCACTTCCTCCCTGTGGCTCCCCATTTACATCTTTTATTTCACAAATGAACAAGGCAAAAAAATTGATATACATTTAAATACACATACATGTATTTAATATATGTATGTGTATTTAAGTAAATACATTTAAATGTGTATATATATACATTTAAATTTCCAAAGGGCATGTTCAGCCCACCAGCCTCCTGCCCACAGGCACACAACCATTGTCTTTACTTTTGTTACTTTTCTAGGTAGGGCTCTCACGCTCCACTTGTGTGCTCTTTCCTCTTGATGGTACTGGGATCATCTGTTCTGAAATAAAAGATTACCTTCTCCCTCCTTTTAGGTACATATCTTCTACAATTAAAGTTGTGATAATCACAGTCCTGCTAGCAATTATTTACCATTGAGTCATAAAATGCTTTCACCAGATCTGAAAAGAGGGAAACTATTCGGTGGGGATTCTACCTTACCCCCCTCATTCTGCAACTAAGCACACTCATGAAAGCTTGTAAACCAGCCACTTCATGTCTTTGTAGCACCCGATTTTTGATAGCCAGTGTCTAAATTTCTCATCCCTATCCAGTACACTGAGGAAACAAGGTTGTTCCTTGATAGGAAGAATCCTTCCATTCTGGTTGGAATTTTGAGTCACTGCATCAATAGGCAAAAGTCTAGCAATTGTTAGCAATTTGTCATCAAATTGTAGCAATTTGTACTTGTTCATAGTATCAAACGTCTTTTTGTTCCTCGGTTCCTGTTCTGGCCAACAAGCTATCCAAGCTTGGTCAAATGGGTACTAGCTGCAAGTTTAATAATAGTTCTTTATTATTATTATTACTTTTTAGTCTTTTTTTTTTTTTAAGAATCTAGGCAGGGGAAGAGAGCAACTTTTTGTAAGAAGTTAGTTAGATTGTGTTGTTAGCTACAATCATGGTTTTAGAAGAGCTAGACCTAATTTTAGATCTGAACTGTACCTGAGATGTGTGAACTTTGTCAAGTTATTTCACCTCTTTGACCCCCACTTTAAGGAGCTTTTATGGCATAGTAGTTAAAGAGCTTGGCTGCTAGTGTAACATCAGCGGTTTGAACCCACCAACCACTCTGTAGGAAAAAGATGTGGCCGTCTGCTTCTAAAGATTAATCCTTGGGAACCCCTAAGGAACAGTTCTACTCTGTTCTATAAGGTAGCTTTGAGTCAAAATAGACTCAATGGCAGTGAGCTTGGTTTGGTTTGGGAACCCCAATTTGTCATCTGTAAAACACTCATCATGAATCTAATGTAAGCATTAAATGGGATTGGTATATTACTGTGCTTATTTAGCACAATACTGTACGCACAGTTGGTGCTTTCAGAATAATGGTTACTTCCAATGTTGTTTTTCCTGCGGAATCTTTTCATGTAAAAGATGATGCAGTGTTGAAGATGGAGAGGGAAATTGCAGAGGACAATAGGGCAAACTGCTGACAGTAGTTACTTTAAGGGGAGAGTGTGAGAACAAGGAGACCTCTAACTTTCTACTTCAGTTGTTTCTGTCATGTGTAAATTTCTTATATCAAGTACACATTACTTTCATAATAAGAAAATTAAATGCTCCTAACTTTAAAAATTATATATATAACTATATTAAATTTTTGATGGAAAAAAAATCTTGTCTATATACTACATATTGTCATTACATGTGACTGTGGTATCTCCTCCATACCTGCATATTGTCATTACTGTAACTGTGGTGTCCACATACCTACATGTTATCATGACTTGTGACTTTGGTGTCTACATACCTGTATATTGTCATTACTTGTGACTGTGGTATCCACATTCCTTGACATACTGTCATTACTTGTGACAGTGGTGCTCAAACTTTTGTCTGATAATTTTGCCACAAGACTTTTTCTATGTTGCTGCATGTTGTTGTTGTTGTTGTTGTCAGGTGCCATCGAGTTGGAACCGACTCATAGCGACCCCATGCACAGCAGAACGAAACAATGTCCGATCCTGGGCCAACCTCACTACCGCTGCCATACTTGAGTCCATCAATGATGCCACCTGGCTGATCCATCTCGTTGGGGGTCTTCCTCTTTTTCTCTGACCCTCCACCCTACCCAGCTTGACATCCTTCTCCAACGATTGTTTCCTCCGGACAATATGTCCAAAGTAGGAGAGACGAAGCTTAGTCATCCTGGCCTCCAAGGAGCACTCTGGCTGCACTTCTTCCAAAACAGATCTATTGGTTCTTTTGGCAGTCCATGCCACCCTCAGTATTCTCCTCCAACACCACATCTCAAAGGCATCAATTCTTCTACGATCCTTCTTATTCACTGTCCAGCTTTCGCATCCATATGAGGCTATTGAAAACACAATGGCCTGGGTCAGGCGCACCTTAGTCCTCAAGCTGACATCTCTGCTCTTCAATACTTTAAAAAGTTCCGGTGCAGCAGATTTGCCCAGTGCAATACGTCGTCTGATCTCTTGACTGCTACTTCCGCGAGTGTTGATAGTTGATCCAAGAAGAATGAAGTCCTTGACAACTTCAATCCTTTCTCCATTGATAAGAATGTTGTTTATTGGTCCAGTGGTGAGGGTTTTTGTTTTCTTGACATTGAGATGTAATCCATATCGAAGGCTGTGCTCTTTAATCTTCATAAGTAAATGTTTCAAGTCCTCTTCACTTTCAGCAAGCAAGGTTGTATCATCTGCATATCGCAGGTTGTTAATGAGTCTTCCTCCAATCCTGACACCACGTTTTTCTTCATAGAACCCAGCTTCTCAGATTATTTGCTCAGCATACAGGTTGAATAAGTATGGTAAAAGAATACAACCCTGTCTCACACCTTTCCCAATTTTAAAACATTCAGTGTTCCCATGTTCTGTTCGAACAACCAAGAGGTCTAGGTACAGATTTCTCAGAAGTACAATTAAGTGTTCTGGAATACTCATACTTCTCAATGTTGTCCATAGCTTGTCATGATCCACACAATCTAAAGCCTTTGCATAGTCAATAAAGCACAGGTAAACATCTTTCTGATATTCTCTGCTTTCAGCCAAGATCCATCGGACATCAGCAATGATATCTCTCGTTCCACGGTCTCATAGTTATCATATGTTGCTGCATAGTTATCACATGATGGTCCTTTGAGATTTTGAACATGACTTTTATTGTTGGCCAATTAGTGATCCATTTTTTTGCTATTATAGATAATATGTAGTTTGTTTTGCTGTTCCCTTGTAATTGAGCATAGGGGTTTATTGCCAATTTTTTGCTGTAATAAAACAAGTAGGAAGTTTTACTGGCTAGTGTGAGACTCTGAGAAAGATCTTCAGACTCAAAGAACCCTGACTTGTGTCAGGAGGTGTCTGACTCTGGATCAGAGCTTGCTGTTTGTGGCTTGTTCACAACTCTTTAGCTGGGATGCAAGGCTAGAAGGGCAGAAGGGGTCTTCAGAGTTGTTTTGCTTTGGGATCTAGATAGGAGGGAAAGTATGTACCCCCTTAGAGACAGAGATGGCAGGGCAGGGAAGAGAAATGGGCACCATGCATCTTTGTGTGAATTGTGACACGTTTGACAGGCCCAGGAGGAGCCTGCTTGCTTTCCCTCTTCTCATGTGCATTTCTTCCACACAGGGATTTCAAGGATTTGGATTTGGAGATGGTGGCTTCCAGATGTCTTTTGGAATTGGAGCATTTCCGTTTGGGATATTTGCCACAGCATTTAACATAAATGATGGGCGGCCTCCTCCAGGTAGGCCTCTGTCTCCTGGAGACAGTGAGATGGTATCCTGTATTCAGAGGTTAAGGCTCTTGGGATCTGGTATAAAAGAAGTTAGAGAATTGGAACTGTACAGATAATCTTTGAAATGGGCTAAACTCTTTTCTGGTGATATTGGGCACGGTGCACAGCACATTCCATTTCAAACTTGGAATCCTGACAGCAGCCCCGGGGTACCTGTGAAGTCAGCTTAGTATTCTATTTGGAAAATGTTCAGTCATGTTTGCTGAGACATACCCATGTCAATAAAATGGAAAAGTGTAAATGATACCCAACTGAGGAACACTTTAGTCCTTAGTCCTCCACACACACCTCTACTTTGATGGTTTGGGGTGGGGAGGGGTGAAGTGACCTATAAAGAGTCAGGGCCTCTTTGTTCTCTGGAGTCTCTGGCATTGTCCACAGGACTACAGTGGTGTGGGGACTGTTATAAGCTTCAGTCCTCTGGGAATCCTGTCTAGGTGTACCACCTGCTGCTGAGTGTCTTCTTCCAGTCAGCTGAAGAATGCCTGTCGCATGAGTGTTGAGCAGGTGTTTGGGGTGGGTACCCTGTACTCTTGTCATCGCCTGATGCCCAGGCCAGATCCATTCCATGGAGCCAGCTGAGAGATCTGGTTGAGTGAGTTCTGCTTACTCTTACTGGATCCTGGTGTGTAATTGGGACACAATATACAGACCCAGACATGACCAGTGTGCAGCTCCTGGCCTCAGGAGCTTGTGATCTAAATGTAGTAGAGACAGTCATTCATTCCTGCATCGTCCTAAGACAGTAATCTACTCATGGGGCGTCCCAGCTGTTCTCAGTGCTGTGGACTCTTCGCAGGTGATTGATAGTCTCTAGGACTAACTGCCTGCATGCATGGATTAATTAGAGCACCCAGCCAGCACCAAGTAATCTTGGGAATGCCCCTTCTCACCTCGCACATTACCTGCCTTGGAAGTTTCTGCTTGATTTACAAGTGGTTGCCTCAGAGGAAGGACACTCCGAAAGGCAGGGTATGCTTTGTTCTGAGGGAAGGACAGAACCCCACAGAGGCAACAGGAGCCTGCCTGGCTCCCCAGTTAAACAGAGCTCCACAGCCTGTAGCCCTTACAACAATCACAAGCAGTAATCTCCTGTTATGTTGGCTAGAGCTTCCCCATCTTGGATGTAGTTTCTCTCACCCTTCTTTCCCCAGCTTCATAAGGAGCTTTTAAAGGATAGCTTCTCAAAACAGAGGAGGCGAAACTCAGGTTTTTTCCCCACTTCTGCCTTTAGGTTGCTATGTGATGGGACAGACAGGTCACTTTGCCTGTCTGTCCCCCGATTCTCCTCAGGGAAAGGAAGGCACTCCCTGTGGGGTTCTCTGAGGCCCCTTCTGGCTCAACAGTGCCCAAACCTAGTGACCTGGGAGAGGCTGAGAGCACAGCTGTGGAGCTCTGCTACTACCCCATGCCCCTGCTTACGTGTCTGTATATGCACAGTGGGTTTAAGATATCCCATCAAGTAGTAACATGTACAGAACTCAGCACGTGGAAGATGTTGAACAAATAGTAGCTCTTCTCTGGTTATTTTCTCTCATCTCCTGTTAGTTGACTGGCTTTCTTGCATCTGCAGACCCAACCCTTGTGGGGTAAATTGGAGACCTTTTCCTCCTCATTCCCTTGTTCTACACATTTTTGTTTTGTGTGGTATGTTTGGGTTAGGAACTTTTTCAGTCTTCAGGATTCTATTGTAAACAGGTGACTGTCAATGCTCTTGACTCCTTGATTGAAGGGAGAGGTGGGGTGTACAGTTGGAGCATTCTGACAGCCCCTATTCTCCCTCCTTTCTCTCCAGCTGTCCCTGGGACACCTCAGTATGTGGACGAGCAGTTCCTGTCACGCCTCTTCCTGTTTGTGGCCCTGGTGATCATGTTCTGGCTCCTGATTGCCTAATGGTGGGCCTCTGGCTACATCCATAACAGGACCTCTAAACTGGTGACACACCATATCCACTCTTGGTGTTTGGCTGTCTCGCTAACCCTGAACTTTCAAATCAGTGCAGCCAGTAACACCTCAAGGAGTCTTGTTTCTTCAGAGCTTTGGGACTCAGAACCAGCTGGTGAGGACCCCCACGTGTGGCCACTATTGTGAACACCCTGCTCTAACCTCTCATGGGTGACACCATGTTGGTCCCCTCTTGTGGGTGACACCATGAAATCCTGTGCCAGCCAGCTCAGCGGATCCTGACTCTGCATGGAAAAGATGGCAAAAGGGAAACTATCAGAGTACAGTCTCACCTGAGTCTAATAATACAAAAACAAAGGGACAAACCAAATGGTATTTATAGAAACTTTTTTTGTCTCTATAAATACCCCTAGGTGCGTGGGACTCCTAGTGCAAAGGGGCTCCTCACCAAGTCCCCAGTGCTGCTCTATCCTCTCCCCGCTCCTCTTCATCCTCAGCAGAGCGACCAGAATTTGCTGTCCCATAAAGATTGTAATTGCAGCAGTTGAACCTGGAGCCTGTGCCATCACTTGATGAATTCACCAGCAGTCTACAGATCTTTTATTGACCCTGGGCTGTGCTCAGTGTCTGGCCCCAGAGAGCAGCTTGAATGGCCTCCTGGTTTCCTGGTGTCAGTTGTCCCCATAAGACATGCAGCTTCACTCATGGATTTCAGTCAACTTCCCCCCAAAAAACTATACACATCTGCCTTGCTGCTAGCAGGCACACAGCTTCAGCCACTGCCGAGGCTGGACAGCCTGCTAGGCCTGACAACAGCTGGGCAGAGGCTCTAGTGGGATCTCGAGGACTGATGTAGGAGCAGCTGGCCCAGCAGCCTGAGCAGAGGCCGCAGCAACTCATTGCCTCCTCTCCCAGCACTCACCCACACACAGATAGCTGGGACTTGTCCATTAGGCCTAGATGTATGTTGAAGAGTACACACCCCTGTGAAAAGGGAGGGAGAGAGCTGCCAGAGCCTGATTTTGGAACAGCTTGATGGATTCCTCCTGCACGCTCCGGGAAGCATTTTAATGATTGCTAAAGCCAGAATGTGAGGCCTAGGGAACCTCCAACAAGCATATTATGCAGTCTTCCTTCGTTTGGAGTCCAGAGGAAATTGTTCTCCCAAGCCCTTGATTTGCTTTTCATCTTTATAAGGGTCTTTTTCCAAAGTTGATTGTGGGCGTGTGGTGCCAGGCCTGGAAGACCCTTCACCTGGTAGAAGCCCTTCTCCTGAAAAGCCAGCTCTTCCTGAAGCCCTAAAGGGTGGGGGATGGACTTCCTATGGGGGCCTCACCCTAGAAAGCCCCACCTATCACTTTTTTCCAGGATAACTGCATAAAGTTGGGAAACCCAAGACCTGGAGGAAGATGAGGGAAGTGCCCTCCTCCTCTAGCTACAGCCCCACCCACCTACTCCCCCCACCCCCACCCCGTTTTATGCACCTACCAACACCAGAGGTCAGTGTTTAAACACAAAATATAAGTATTGAGTAGGTGGTTCGATTTCCGAATCCATCCTGTAGGATCACTTTGTGCCTGAGGGGTTTTAAACTTTCTTGGGGCATCCCTTTGAGTGCCCTTTTATTAACACTTTCAGGAGCCCCAGGAGTTTCTCAGTTCTGGAGAAGACTGGTGGGCCCTCTTGGTGCAGTGGCCCCACCTTGTGGTGGGAGAGAGGACTTCAGTCAGATGGATCCAATAGAAATGGGTTTCCAGAAGAAAGATAAAGTTGTAAGAAGAGGGATCATTTGGGCTCTTTATGGAAATAACGTGAGCCCAGGGGAACCCTTCCAGAAAAGGCATCATAGGGAATCTGTTAGCAAAGCCAGGTTAGCCATGAGCTCCCTTTGAATTTGAACCCTATAGATCCCCGCTTGTCCTTCATCAGTAACTGGGGCAGGAGAACAGGGACTGCTGGCCCAGCCCCAGTGGGGAGCCCCTTTCCAGCACCCACAGGCTCACCACCTTACCCTTCTGCCAACACGATTTTCCCTCCTTTTGTGTGTATTTTCTATGTTCGCAGCCTCCACCCCTCGCCACCCTGTGGACTGAGACCAGGTCCTGGTCACAGTCAGACAGTGACACTGCACAGTGGCACACTTTGAGCAGTCACTAATTTTCACTATTGTGAAAGTGGTTTGATTTGGAATTAAATGATTTTCTATTACAGTGAGCTGTGGACTTCTCATCTGTATTGTAGGTCGGGGAAGGGGGAGGCTGTCACATGATCTGACCTCTGTAAAGCACCTGTGAGCCCTTGGCAATGCCACTCTGAGGAGGAAAGTCTCAGATAGCTGTGGGAAATGAAAGAGAAACGTGGACTGGATCACTAACCAAAGCGGGGGGGCGGGGGGGAATTGCAGGTCAAAGCTTTGCTAGAAACTTGGTTTCCCTTTTAGAAAACAAGGGCAACCTGTGTTTCACAGCATCCAAATCTCTCGACCAGCTGTGTCAAAAACAACAGTGCCCTGCTCAAAGGTGGTAACCATGCGACTTTAAATGTGTGTCACTATCCACAGTCCTGGTCAAAATCCAGTCTCCCACATCTAAGTCTTCCATTCCAGGGCTTCCTGTTCTGGTTAGCATTCTGGATCAGGAATGTTTTGGGGTTTCATTCTGGTTTTGTTTCTACTGCCATGACTAAATCAATTCAAATCCATTCGAAACCCTGCCAAGGTGTGGCCTGAAAGTCCAGGTCCTGACAAGTATGGAATTCCCTAAACATTCAAGTGACTAGCTTCCATGGTGGAGCATAGCTGATAAGAGCTTTGAGGACAGTCACAGATTATTCATTGCCAGCACTGCCCAATAATAGGGCAAATGGGTCCCAGCTGAGCCCTTCTCTGGAACAGGATGTGTGCTCATTAGGGAGGCTCCTCACAGCAGGGTTTGGTGTAGGCTAGGAGTGTCTGTTGAACCAGAATCAAGGTGTAGTGCGAAATTCAAAGGTAAGGAGGCAATCCATGTCTTCAGGGGCTTAGAAGTCAACTATAAGGGAACAAATTAAGGATAACACAGAAGTCCAGTAAGACAGTAAACCTTCCAAGTACCCATCACTCAGCCCTAATAACCACCAACTCACATCCAGTCTTAGTTCGTCTTCACCCCCACGCTGCTCCTAAATATTTTGAAACAGATCCCAGTCATGTGTCTTTCTAAAGTATTTCAATATGCATCTCAAGGAATTTTTAACATAACCAAAATACCATTTTATGCAAAATCAATGATTTGTTCATTTCAAATACCTTTAGAAAGCATAAGAGATGACTATACACATGGACCTCACCAGATGGAATACATAGAAATCAAATTGACTACACCTGTGGAAAGAGATGATGGACAAGCTCCATATCATCAGTCAAAACAAAGCTAGGGGCAGATTGTGGAACAGACCATCAATTGCTCATATGCAAAATGAACTGAAGCTGAAGAAAATGAAAACAAGTCCATGAGAGCCAAACTATGACATTGAATATATCCCACCTAAATTTAGAGATCATCTGAAGAACAGATTTGATACATTAAACACCAAAGACCAGAAGAGTTGTGGGAGGCCATATCATACAGGTAGAAAGCAAAAAAATCATTAAGACAAGAAAGGAAAAGGTCATAGTGGCTGTCAGAAGAGAAACCTTGCTCTCTAACATATAGATGCTAAAGCAAATAAATGGAAGAAATGAGGAGGTACAAGAGATGAACAGAAAATTTCAAAGATCAGCTGGAGAAGGTAAAGCCAAGTATTACAACAAAATGTGCAAAGATCTGAAGTCAGAACACCAAAAAGGAAGAACATGCTCAGCATTTCTCAAGCTAGGGGAACTGAAGAAAAAATTCAAGCCTCAACTTTTGTTACTGAAGGATTCTCTGGGCAAATTATTGAATGACGCAGAAAGCATCCAAAGAAGATGGAAGGAATATACAGAGTCACTGTAACAAAAGGAAATGGTTGATGTTCAGCCGTTTCAAGAGGTAGCATATGATCAAGACCCAATGATACTGAAGGAAGAAGTCCAAAGTGCACTGAAGGAATTGGCAAAGAACAAGGCACCAGGAATTGATGGAATAAAAATTGAAATCTTTCAAGAAACTGAGGCAGTACAGGAGGCACTCACTCATCTGTGCCAAGAAATTTGGAAGACTGATTGGAAGAGATCCATATTTGTGCCCATTCCAAAGTGAGGTGACCCAATGGCATGCAGAAATCATTGGATGATATATTTGATACCCATGCGAGTAAGATTTTACTGAATGTAATACAGAAATGGTTACAAGTATATATACATTGACAGAGAACTTCCAGAGATTCAAGCTGGATTCAGAAGAAGCCATAGAATGAGGGATATCATTACTGATGTCCGATGGATCTTGGCTGAAAGCAGAGAATATCAGAAAGATGTTTACCTGTGCTTTATTGACTACACAAAGGCTTTAGATTGTGTGGATCATGACAATGGTGTGGATCATGACTATGGATAGCACTGCGAAGTATGAGTATTCTGGAACACTTAATTGTACTGATGAGGAATCTGTACATGGACCAAGAGGCAGTTGTTCAAACAGAACATGGGAATACTGAATGTTTTAAAATTAAGAAAGGTGTGCAACAGGGTTGTATTCTTTCACCATACTTATTCAACCTGTGTGCTGAGCAAACAATCCGAGAAGCTGGATTATATGAAAAAAAACATGGCATCATTAACACCCTGCGATATGCAGATGATACAACCTTGTTTGCTGAAAGTGAAGAAGACTTAAAATATTTACTGATGAAGATCAAAGAGCACAGCCTTCAGTATGGATTGCATCTCAATGTAAAGAAAACGAAAATCCTCACCACGTTCTTATCAACAGAGAAAAAATTGAAGTTGTCAAGGACTTTATTCTTCTTGGATCAACTATCAACACTCATGGAAGCAGCAGTCAAGTAATCAAACAACATATTGCATTAAGCAAATCTGCTGCACAAGATCTTTTTAAAGCGTTGAAGAGCAAAGATGTCAACTTGAGAACTAAGATGCGCCTGACCCAAGCCATGGT